GTATCTTTTGCCTCAAGAAGCAAAGAGAAAATGAGAACTAAGACAGCAACAGATATATGAAGAGAACATTCTGATAAGACTTGTGCCTTGGTGTTTCCTCGGCTAGATCTTCAGTGGTTTGCTAGAAAGTATCAAAATGTAGGAGGAGTTAAAATGGTACTAAGTTCACCCTTGCCCTGATAAGGACTTGTCAATCATGAATGCTACCAGCAAAAATGGATACAACCGGTGCCAAGTTCACAGCAAACAACAAAAGTGGAACTTCTTGTTCCACTTTCAAAGCGCACTCAATCTTATCTCTCCAAACACAATACTCTCAACACTGCCATGGGACTATTCCAATTTCTTGGGCTTTCTACACAGAATAAAAATAGGCAAATGTCACAAAGCAGTTATCATTATGTATGATATCTGTTCTATACTTTTTCACAAAGACAAGTAGTAGTAATTAAAAATATTTCTAGCAGAAATCCAGGGCTAAGCTTCTCTGACCCACTGATTATAGTTTCAACTGTTACTTTTTTAAACATTTTTATTAGCAGTTGTTTGAGAACTTTATATGTGTATGTACCTGATCAACACACAACCTTGTGCTTGTGCTTCTATTCAAATGTCTCTTAATAAATAAATATTACTGAGTATTAACATTAAATTCATGATCAGTAATACATGCCTGGAGAAAACTCATCTCTATGAGGCATATAATAACTTCTTTGTACCTGGGGTCAATTTGCAAAACTAAGCTATAAACAACAAGCACACAGAAATGTAGATATCATGGCATTAAATGGATATATAATTATTGAAACAAGAAAGCAAAGTGTTACCTTGCTTGACTCCAGTTAAATCATGTACATTGGCTCACTCATAAATGTATTTCTCATTGTGTCTATGCATATGATTCCTAAAATACCTTGAATACTGATTTGGAGGTAAGTGGTAAATTTTCATGAGCAGAAAAATTTGAAAATGTAAACTATAGAATCCATGTTGCTTGGGGCATGTCTCAGTGGGTAAAGAAAGCTCCAGTAAGTGGTGGACCTTAGGTAGAGTCCCTAGAGAGCACAGAAGAAAGGGTATGGTTACATGACAAGATGGCAGGTGGAAACTGGTGAAATATATGGTCCAGTTAGCCTGATGTCTGCAGCAGAGAGCTACATGCAGTGACATTGGAAAACTACTACACGTACTCCACAGTGTATGTGCTCCTGCACTCACACAATGCATGTGCACACATACATATGTATATTTAATCCATGAGCATGATGATCCCAGGTGCTTTATGAATTACATAGCTATTTTCCCAATCAAAGAAATATGGATACCACACATACACATACACACACACACACACTCAGAGAGAGAGAGAGAGAGAGAGAGAGAGAGAGAGAGAGAAAGCCAGGCGGTGGTGGCATACACCTTTAATCCCAGCACTCTGGAAGCGGAGGCAGGAATATACAAGTTAGAGACAAGTTTGGTCTACAGAATGAGTTCCAGGACAGCCAAGCCTACACAGAGAAACCCTGTTTCAAACAAAACAACAAAAGTAAACAAATTAAATCTAGATACCTATGATGCTGCCAGATTAAATAAATGACACAGCTGCTTCTTGGATTTCTCCTTTTAGAAAATGTTCATATTTATTGTATTCTTTCTACCTGGGAAATCCCTCATGCACACATCAGGTGATTTTGAATTTTTCTTTGTCTTACAGATTGATAGCCACTTTGTTACATGTCTTATGCATGTTAAAAAGATAGCAGAAATGAATAAACAATTATATAATGTGAATATCAAAATGTCTCCCTGTATGATAGCATTATGTAAAAATTGAATGAAAAATTAAACATAATCAAACTTTTGAAAACTCAGGAAAAGCAACAAGGGTACATTTTAGAAAACATTGGCCCATCATTGGTCAGTTATTTCCTGCTGATCATTTAATTCTTTTCCTTGTGATTTTTAAATATGTAAAACATGATTGTAAATGTGTGCTGCTTTAATAAATGAGATAGCCTGTACAAGCATGATTTTGATTACGTAAACAAGACATTTCGCCTTTGGAGATGCATCGGCACTTAGGTCAACTTATCTCCTTCTTGTAAACTGGTTTCATTATGAAAACATCCATTCAGATGTCCACATTCCTCTCCTTCCTCATGCTCCCTTCTCCACTCGTGGGGTTTACTTTCCTTTCATTGTGCTTTCTCATTTTAAATTCTTACTGTTTTTCTACCTGCTCTGTCTCTAACGTAACCACCACCATCACAGATAATCTACCACTACACTACCTTTTCCTAGTATTCAGGCACAACATTAGATGCTTGAAAGGCTACAAGACTTAGACAGTAGTCAGCCAAGAAGACAGACAAAGAGAGAGTTCACATTTCTGAGGCCTTCATCCTGAGCAGACCAGAGGGAGTCTCCAGTCCCTGGGGATTAGCTCTAAAAGATAGCACTGATCAGAGAGTCGTTAAGGGGTGGGTGCTATTGAAACAGGATGCACAAGAGAGGGTAAGGACGCCTTTAAGAACATTCAGTATCCTTGGGTTTCTCCTTCGTGGGAGGTGAGGTCATCTGTTAGTAGTTACGCAGGGAGGAGTTTGGATGGGTAACTGGGAGCATGGTGAAGATATGAAATAATAGGTCATGAAAAACAATAAGCCAGAAACCAAGTGCACAGAGTACAGAGATGCACTGCAGGTCAGGCGTGACTTAGAAACCAAACGCCTTGGCCATACCTCTCCATGGTGAGTCAATATTCTCCAAGAAGTACACAGAGGGTCACAGCTTCTTCCTCAGACCTTCATTCTGTGTCGTACCCTTGGGGTCTTGAGTACTACTCTCCTTCAGTGGCTTCCCACCAAGTTCAATCACTAGCAATATTTTGCCACCACTGTCTTCATGCCTCCCTCCTTTTTGTCTTAATGTGGCCTCTGCTTGACAATGTCCAAACTTTGGATCAGCCACAAGAGAAAATTAGAGCATTCAGTGTTTAGCTTGAACCTTAAACAGCTGCCATTTTTGTAGTCAAGAAAGGTTATCTTTCAGGGGTTGTGTTGAGGGATGCCCAGCTTTGGGATGCCAAGTGACTTTTACTCCTGTGTGTGTGCTTCCAACTGCATGGGAGTCTCAGGAGGGCTCAGAGCCTAGAAACAAGCAGCTGCTATGGTCAGTATTTTAGAAAGTTCAGCCTGGAGGAAGACTCCAACAGAAAGCCTACTCTACCCTTTCATGTTCCTTATTACTTTTTCCTGGACAAGTAGAGTGCAAAGTTGTCAAGGAAACAAACAAAATTCAAAACAAGAATGATGGGAGAAGGGGGTTTGGGAGGAGTAGGTTAATAAAAAGGAGGAATTAATGCACACAATGATGTGTTCATTGGAACTGACAAATGTAACTAGAATTAAAAGCAAACTATCAAGACAGACATTTTCTCATTTAAGGCACAAAGCTTCATTATTTGTGTTCTAAATTATCTACCATACCTTCGCTGGAAAATATTCCTATCTAGAACCAAAGGTACTTCATGTGAACATCAATTGTCCAGAAATAACTAAAACTCCCTTAATAGCAAAAGTTCTACCAATGGGAAATTAGGAGACAACAGAAGATATATGCTGATTTCACAGAAACTTATTAATATGCAAATAGAAACCAGTAAAATACCTCCCACTCTTCCCACACTTTCTGAAATTAACCCCATGACAACAGATGATGCATACTGTATACTTTAGTATAAACTGGAGGGTGCTGTGATAAACAACATATTTACAGTAAAAATTTTAGCTACATGGTCAATAACATTGTAACTTTTGTTAAGCCCTAGGGATGTCTTATTTGATCTAATTATTTTAAAGTACTTTCAAGATTGGTTTATTCCATCTGGTAAACTGAGGCTCAGGGGATGGAATTTCTCAGTTAACAGCTAATAATCCCTGCAATTAGATCCTCAGGCAATGACTCTATAATCATTACTCAATCATTATTGAACCTGGGAGCATGATATGTGTGAGAAAAAAAAAGACCCCTGCACAATAGGATTCCACTTCTGAAAATAGGGTTTCACTTCTTAGGACAGACAAATGGTTATAAAGACTTTCTTCTACCAGATCTACTCCTCTTTTCTTGGTCTCATCATGGACAAAATCTAACTAAAGAAAGAAGCTGAAAGCAAATGACAATGAGAAAATTGCCACATGCTTAGTGTGAACAGGAGGAGAAACCTTACAGAGAGCTAGAAGGGAATTAAGGAGAGACAGAGCCTGCCTCATTTTCCAGCAAGCACACATCATCCCAAACTCTTTCAAAAGGTCAAGTTGCAGTGAGGTAATGCTGTTTTGGGAGTGAAGTAAACATTACATTGATTTTGCTCCCTCTAGGATGGTTTGCCCCTCCTTTTCCTTTTTCTTTCTCCCTCTCAGTTTTACAACCCTTGCTCTTTTGAAAAATCAAACCCATTCTCGCCACTCCCCTTTTACTGAGTCTGCACACCAATAATGTTCTAGTCTTGCCTTCAGTCTGAAGCTGTTCTTAAGACCTTTCCACTCAGGGTATCAGGCAGAGGCTATTTTCTTACAGAGCTGCTGTTGCTGAGCGCTGCGTGTGTGTGTGTGTGTGTGTGTGTGTGTGTGTGTGTGTGTGTGTGTTTAAACAGTGTGGACAAGGATGTCGGATTTGACTTGGCAGAATCCGGAGGCACAGAGAAGAACTAAGGAAAACGTAGAAAACGAAAGGAGGGGTTGCCTGTCCAAATAATCCCAATTTCTGACCAATTGCATGGACAAGGAAGCACTTTCATAGATGTTCCTAACAGTTTTACAAGATTTTTTTCTTCTGTCTTTTAAAATGTGCTTTCAACAGTCATGCTTTTTTCCAATGGACTGAAAGGAACACTGTGTTTAGAAGGGACAAGGATGGGCTATAGCATAGGACTAGAGAGATACAAAAGCTGCTTTATCTCGATGTATGTTTGCCCTGGCAGGAGTTTTCAGACCTACCTGCACATAATCCACACTCCGCCCTAGTGCTCTGAAGGCTGTGTACATGACTTCTCTCTTCCCGCCCCATTTTTGCATGATGCAGACGCTTTTGTTAGACAAGACCAGTTGGGTTACATGTTGTGAGCTTTCTTTGTGGGACTCCTCTGTCTCGCCGGGTCCCTTTTCATGGTAGTTGTTCTTCCAGATGTAAGTGGCGGATTTGTCCCTGCCCATGACTTCACTGAAGATGTCCATCATGTAAAGGTCATCGTCTGAGTTCCCGTCGATGACCATCACGACTTTAATCCCAGGGTAGGTCAGCCTTTTCACAGATTGCAAACACTTCCGCAAATAGTCAGGGTCTTCTTGGTAGGCAGCGATGCACAGAGCGACAGTTTTGTTCAGCTTAATGGGGGTTTCAAGGGACTTTTTCATTTTCCGGTGTTCCAAGAAGGCAAAGAGGCTTTGGATGATGAGGTGTGATGCTAAAAAGGCACCATAGAGTCCAAAGGAGAAGTAGTAATTATCCGTTTGGATGAACTGGTAGCCAACTATGTAGGCAGCTGTGATTCCGAGGAGAAGAGACACTCCAAAGAGTGTCGTTCCAATTATTCTCAGGACACATAGAAACCTCTCACAATGCATCTGCAATGGAATCAGAGACACGTGCGGTCAATCACTCTTGTCCCGTGCTTGCCAGCCACACACAGGTATCACGGGTGGCGGGGGAGCCCTGTCCAAGGAGCACTCATGAATTGCCCCCCTTTAGTTTTGTTCGTTTTGTGTTTATTGTTTGGTAATGTCACACTTGTATTCGACAGATCTGGTCAACACCGCTGCTTACTTCCTCCTTGCCAGCTCTTCCCATGCTGCCACCGCCATGCCCCCCCCCCGACTTCACCATGTACTCTTTTTTTTTAACCTGCATGGTCCACTTAGTGCTGCCAATGTGTGCATAGATACAGCGCCATCCACTGGAGCAACCCAACCGGGGCTGCGTTCCTGACGAAAGCTCAGTCTACATTCTCCAGCAGTCATCAACAACCAATGATTCCTCAGCTGGGAACGGGACTTGGTGTGCCCCTCTCCCACACGGCATTCAAGAATTGTAACAGTGAGTTTCCCACTTGACTTATTACCTTGACACCAGGGCTCGTTTTCGAGCCAGGATGTCAAGGTAACACAGCTCACGGGACTGTCTCAAGAACCAAATGGGTGGGTAGTGCCAGTAACTGTGACAATACATTGAACACCTACCCGGATGCTTTGTTCTCGGTGTCTTAGGTCCCATGTCTAAGGCAGCTCCCACTTTATCTAGACACAACTAGGCATCAGACTAAAATTTCCTAAAGAAATCTTTTTGCCTGCTCAATACTTTCTTCAGCCCCTAATTACTGATGAGTAAGAAATCCGCAGAAGATTCTGCTGATCTTCCCAAGTATGACTTCATTTCATCTCTAACACTTGTCCCTATGCTTATATCTCCAGGAAGCTGGCCGAGGTTAGAGACTAGGAAGACTGGGTTCTGGGATTAGCTTATCAGTTAGTGCTGTGACCTGGCAAGCATGATCCCACGTCCCTGCATCTCAGTGTTTCTGTTTGCCCATGTTTGTTTTTAAAGACCTGTTCCATAGCAATGCTCACACTTTACAAATCACCCTTTGATGTTAAAATCTGTCTGTCCCTTCTACCCACCAGTGTCAGGTGGTACAGTTCTGAAGGTCAGGAAAACAACAGCATCACCATAGAACAAAATCCATATTATTAAAATAATGGCTATATTGAGTGAGGAAAAAAAAAACATCCCACTGGATTCCAAGAGCTGAAAGTCCATCCTATCAAAAGAGATAGCAGGTCAGACCTTAAGCTTCTCTCAACTCTAAATTCACCCCTAAATTCTGCATGTATCCTAAGTAAGACTGGGGGGTATGTGAGTGTGCATGTTTTTGTGTGTGCAAGTACATATGCACCTGTGTGTGCATGCATTTGGAAACCAGATGACAACCTCCAGGGTGTGACTCCAGTGCTATCTAACTTCCATCCTTCTTTTTTCTTTTTGAGACAAGGTCTATCACTAGCCTGGAATTTTCCAAGGCACCAGGAGAGGAAATCTTAAGAATCTGTGTACCTCTGCCTAAACTAAGTTTTAAATAATCTAAGGACTCGAGAGCCAGTTTTTTTAATCTGTGTTTCCTTAACCACTTCTCATACTAAGCATTAAAATTTTGCTCCACAAACTTTTTCAGTTTATTTTCAGCCCCCTTCTAAGAATGAACTACAATAAGGCATGTCACTGTTTTAAGTGCAGTGTTCCTTTGTTCTCGTTTTTTTTTTTTCCCTTTGGGAATGTGTCATATTTGCATGTCAAGAATACATATTAATTTTATGTTTTTAATTTTTATTTTTAAATTTAAATTAAAATTAGAAACAAGGTTGCTTCACATGTCAGTTCCAGGTCACTCTCCCTTTCCCTCCCCTCCTGCTGTGCCCTCCCACCAACCCCCCCAATATCCCCTCATTTCCCCAGGGAGGGTGAGGCCCTCCATGGGGGTGTCTATAGTCTGTCATTTCATCCAGGGCAGGGCCTAGACCCTTCCCCAAGAGTCCAGGGTGAAAGTGCATCTCTCATTGTTGGATGGGCACCCAAAGTCCATTTGTATACCCAGGATTAATACTGATCTATTACCCAAGGCCCAATAGATTACCTAGGCCTCCTCACTGACAGCCACATTCAGGGGGTCTTGATCAGTCCTATGCTGGATTCCCAGCCATCAGTCAGGGATTCAAGAGCTAACCCTTGTCAGGTCAGCTGTTTCTGGGGATTAAAACAGCCCAGTCTTAACCTCTTTGCTCCCTCTCTGTCACTGGATTCCTTGAGTTCAGCTCAGTGTTTAGCTGTGGGAGTCTGCCTCTGCTTCCATCAGCCATTGAATGAGGGTTCTGTTTCGTAGACTCTCTGGCCATGGGATTGTAGGCTGGCACTCCCCAGATCTATGTCTAAAATCCATATATGCCATGTTTCTCTTTTTGTGACTGGGTTACCTCACTCAGGATGGTTTCTTCTAGTGCCATCCATTTGCCTGCAAATTTCAGGATTCCATTGTTTTTTTCTGCTGAATAGTACTCCATTGAGTAAATGTACCACATTTTCTCTATCCACTCTAAGGTTGAGGGGCATCTAGATTGGTCCCAAGTTCTGGCTATTACAAATAATGCTGCTATGAACATAGTGGAACAGATGTCCTTGTTGTATGAATGTGAATCTTTTGGACTCCACTCTTAGGCACATATTAATTTTATAGCCCAACTAATTTTGAAACTGGGTTTATGTATTTTAAATGAAAATAATTATCTCTATAAAAACCTCTCCTTTTGTACATTATTTATAGTCTCCTAGTCATTATCAAATTGCAAAAACGAATATCCCTTAGGAAGCAGTAAAATTTTGGTTATTAACACCTGTGCATGTTCACATTTTGTTACACCTAATCATACTTGACTGGGTCTCATTCTCAGAAATCTCGATGGTCTACCCACAAAACTGTTACCTTTCCTGGTCCAGAGACAATATGGTAGAGTCACAACATTGTGGCCTGCAGAAATTGAAGATATGCCTCTTCTAGTAGAGAAGAGAAAGATTTTTCAAAAGATAGTCTCCCTCCAATCCATCTTTACCTTCCTCTGGTAAAGCAAGGTTCTGGGGGTATATATCACTCCAAGAGAAAAGGAGAGGTTGGTCATTTCATTAAATATGGAATGCAGTGATTCATCTTTCAAGGTGGCTGCATGGACCTGTGTCATCAATAATGGACTTACAGGGCTTTGCTTTGTTTTAAATTGGCCATTAGACGTTTCTAGATCTCATTGACCGTAATCAATATAACGAAGGTCATGCAACGTACGCCTGAGACCAAGATGCTGTTCATCTTTCTACCTTGTAGATATCACTTCCTTCTGATAAATGGGCATGCTCACCAGACGCTTCAAAACACTGTGCAGAGGAGCCAAGTGGGACAAGAGAAAGTGTTTCCTTGCAAGTGTCAGTTGGTAAGGAAGCTGAAAAATATTCAGAACAGAGCAGAGATGCGGCTGACACTTTCCCCAGCTAGACAGGACAGCACAGTGTGTGGTATGGGAGTCTGATAACAGCAACCTGAGCAGAAATGGAAACTTGAGTCTGCTGGAAAAGGGTGAGCTGCAGAGTTTTCAGTGAGTGGTGAGCAGGGATTGCATCCCTTGTTAATTAACACAGCTGACAGGATCCTGAGCACTCCCAGAGGCCACGTTAACCAGTGCCTAAAGGTGCTGCAAGCACCAGACTTGGAACTTGTCATTTCCAAGACATGAGTCATTCTCACAAGAGTGAAAAATTTCAAAAGGACCAAAGCATTTGCCAGGGAGAAGCTTAAGTGTGTGCTCAGCTTACATTTAAAAAATCCACCATCACTAGCAAAAGAACAGCCTGCCATTCTTTCATTATTCACATTTTCCTTGCTTTTTATCAGCACACACGGATGTAGAGAGTGGTCACACAGCATCTGCTGGCCACAGCTGAGGTGGGAACACCCTCTTACATCATAGGTGTCTACAGAATGTCCTCTAGAAGCCTGGGAAACTTGTTAACAAACTGCAATAATGTGGTTAGAATTGAACCTTTATATTCCTGCTGTATCTCAGTACTGTCTGGTGTGACACACAGAGCATCTCAGAGCTGGTCAAAGGGCAAAAGGCATATTATAAAGCCTGCTTTGCTGAGTGGATGCATTGACCTCAGAGTGACACACAGGGTGTGTGTGTGTGTGTTTCTGTGTATACCTCTATGTGTGTGTTTCTGCCTATGTCTGTGTGTCTGTATGATTGTGTGTTTCAGTGTCTCTGTGTGTGTCTGTGTTTCTGTGTGTGTATTTCTGTGGGGGGGGAGTTGCTTAATTGCTAGGAGCAATTAATTTCATAGATGTGGGCACCATATGTGTAAAATTTCTGAGACAATCCTTAATTCAAACACCCTGTTACAGAAACCTACTTTCCCATTAAAAGAAGAATATGTATGTGACTTTTCTCTTGAATTAGAGAAGCTGGGTTATTTTAGTCCTAGATCCTAAGAAAGAAGACTTAGAAATTAGAATTCTGTAAATATTTAAACTGTAAAACTTAAATTTGGGGAGTGGCAGGATCAGAGTTTAGCCCACCGGCTTTTGAATTGCTACTTCATCTTAACTATTTAATAACATCTATTGCCCCCCCAAAGCTAAGTCAAAACAAAATGTAAGAGAATGGATTGCTCTAATACTGTATAAGCTCACATCTCTATCCAAATATCCATCTATACATACATCAATACACATATCTATGTATGTATATATATATTTCCATGCATATATTTATCTCTGCTGATTTTACTAATGTATGCTATGACATAAAACACTGCCTAATTTACATTAAGTATTTACTCTGTTGATTAAATGCCTCCATCACAATTGCCATCATCGTTATCCTGTTTAGTGGCAGCTCTTACTTATTTGTCATTTATTGGGCTTTAAGCAATAAAGAAAGGCTTTTGTTTTATTTTTAAGACTTGATCCTATTTCATCTTAATGTCTTTTCACACATCACAATGCATATATATGACAAAGAAACCAAGATGC